GTCCGCCGCTCGGACCGCAGCCTGGCCCCATTACAGGCAACGTCTTGAAGCAGATTATGGCCATCACTGACCAGAGCCTGGACGAAGCGCAGGCCAGGTGCTGCGTGGGCTCGGGGGACGTCGCGGGTGCCCGGGGCGGGAGCCAGGCCTGAGGGGAAAGGCCGGGTGGTGAGAGCTTGGCTTAAGTCTGGGGCGGGGAGCCGGCATGGGGCCTGAGTACCGAAGGGGATTCTGAGGGTTCTTGGGATAAAAGGGAAGAGTTAGGGTTAGCCTATGTGACCAAGCAATGGACTAAGGGGTTTTAGGAACTTGGGTAGGGTGAGATGGGAATAGGGTGGCACCTGGGGCCAGAGGTGTAGGTTTAAGCGGTGTTTGTGGATGGAGAGGTTTGTGGTGAAAAGTGGTTTAGGGGTTTATGGAGTATAAGTAGGTAAGAGGAGTGTTGGGGGTTGTGAGATCCGAGAGATGGGAACAAATGAGATTTTTGAGGGATGAACAACTGAATGGTTAATGGGATTTATTAGAGTGGGAAGTTTTGAGGTGAGAACCTGGAGCCAGAGCCAGGGAGTTGGGAATGTCTCATCTGAAGAGTTAATATGTGACAGCTTGATGTGGGAATTCTCAGAAACTTTTTAGGAAAATAAAGGACTATTTGTTGTTAATTAATTCAAGTATTTATTGAACGCCTGCTATGTTCCGGGCACTGAGCTGGATGCTAACATAGCCCTACTTTCAAGTTTGTACTTTGCGGGAGAAAAAGTAAGTAAGAAAAAGTAGTTATAAATTGTGATAAGTGCTACAGGGAAAGTGACCCTGGGGAGTGGTCAGCGAGAACTTTAGGAAGCCAGGTGAAAAGCAGGCCTGGAGTGGACACAACACTTCCTAAGGCCCTGCGGTGGGAGAACAGAAGGAAGGCCGAGTTGAGTTTGGAGAGATGCTGGAACTGGATTGTTGTTAGGTGCCGTTGAGTCGGCTCCGACTCATAGTGACCCTCTGTTGTACAGAGTCCTTGCTATACCTGAGCCTACGTTGCAACCACTGTGTCAGTCCATCTTGTTGAGGGACTAACCCTTTTTTGCTGACCCTCCACCTTACCAAGCATAATATCCTTCTGCAGGGAATGAATGGCCCCTTCTGACAACATGACCAAAATAGGTGAAACGAAAGTAGCCATTCTCACTTCCAGGGAGCCTTCTGGCTGTTCTTCTTCCAGGACAGATTTGTTAGTTCTTCTGGCAGTCCATGGTACTTTCAGTGTTCTTCACCAACACCACAACTCAAAAGCATCAGCTCTTCGGTCTTCCTTATTCATTGT